CTAGAAATATGTCGCGTACGACAGCCCTCGCACATCCGTGCATTATGTACCTCCATCTTTGTTGCCTTTGAACGTTTTGTGACGTCATAATATTTGATAAAATTAAGGTTTATATTTTTTATAACAATTATGAAATATCTTGTAATGACTTATATGAATACTGTCCTCGGTCGGAAGAGTAGAGCGCACTTGTATTACAGAGAATTACACCTTAATAGACCGTGATAATTCAGAGGCAATGTGCATGATCATACATGTTTTGAATGTAAGTTGTATCTCCCAGTGTTGGTAATCTTTCCGAAGCATCCTTGTTCTATTTGGAAGCGTAGCACATCACCCTAGAACTATTTGTTGTGTGACGTCTGTTGCTAAATACCTGCAACACAACACCAAGGCACTATTTCTTTGTATATTGAATGTGGTCAGAATCCTAGAACACACCACTAAGGTACCATACCTGATGTTAGTTCTAGAACTGTCTTTTTTCTTCACGAGCAGATAGACAGGAGGTTTATGTGTGGGGGATCTATGAAATGTTTCTCCAGTTCACAACAAACATTCTTTGATAGAGGCATGTCTTTTTTAAAATATCTTTTTCCTGATTAGGACCAGGATTTTAATTAAAGAGGTCAGTAAGATATAAACAATCAATAATGCTGACTAAACTCTATCGAAGGTATCAGCAGGACCTAAAAAACGTGAGATCTTTATTGAGTCAAACCTAATACATATTCAACAGGAGATATGTAAACGAGTTAATTATAATAATAATAAAAGTCAAACAAGGCTCAAAACTCATGAGAGTTCTTAATAATTTACGGCATTATTATAATTATGGAAAAATATGCGGAGCGGCCGACAAAATGGTAAAAGGAACACGTAAACTACATACCATTTATCGTGACGATAGAGTAAAGAACATACACATTATGTGTTAATGATTTAGAAATGGATTTCATAAAAAAAAGAATCAAAAAAATCTTATCACTAAATGTAGATAAAGCAAATATAGTTATCTTTAGAAATGGTGGTTTAATAAAAGCAAAAGAAAAATGGTTTTAAAATAATGATGCGATTGAAGTAGTTGATTAGTTTAATTATTTGGTCTCACTTTAAACTACAGTGTATAATGGAAAATTTACAAAATAACAACAACAACAAAATAGCAGAATAAGGTCGAAAAGCAATATTTGCCATAAATAATGTATGTAAAAAGAATTATTTTAATACATAATCTCCTCTTGCTGTTTTTGACGCGTTTGTAAATAGTGTTTTTAATGTACGGTTTAGAAATCTGGGTTTTTCAAAAAGCATCCGAAATAGAAAAATTGCATATTGGATTCTTGCAAATATTATTAGGATTAAGAAAATCTACAGACTCTGCATTTCTATAAATAGAATTTTGAAGATCTCATTTAGAGCTGTTAAGAAAAGTTAAAATTGTTAAGTATTGGATTAAATTACAACGTTCAGATAACTGTGTGCTGAAAGCTTGTTATGATAATATTGTTGAAAATAAAGACCCCTGGATCCTTAACTTAAAACATGATGTCTGTGACTGATTGTATTAATCATTCTAGTGATGTGTATAAACAACGTTGTGTGATAGTTCTCAGTAATATTGTCTAGAGAAAGTTCATTTTCCTTCTAAAGGAGTATTGTATCAGCATGTAGAGCAACGTATTAAACTACAACCATATTTTCACAAGGCAATTAATTTAAAGTATCTAAAACAAATTTCTAAGATACGTTTATTTGCACATGACCTGTTTATTGAACGTGGCCGTTACAGAGATATACCTAGAGAAGAAAGAAAATGTATTTTATGTAATGAAACTGATAAAGAGGATGAATTTCATTTTATAATTAAATATAATCGCTTTATTCAGACATCCGGTTAAAATTCATGAAGAAATGTTCTTTCAGGCCAAGTATGTTTAAATTCGTTCAATTACTCAAAGTCTAAAATACAAAAGAACGAATAATTTATGAAAGTATTTATCACTAGCGTTTAAACGTAGAGGAGATTAATCAATATGTCACCACTAGAACAGGTCATGTTGAGACACGTGTAGCATATAAGTTTATTGAATACAATTTATATAATATACTGTACCATTGTATTGATTAAGTCTTGTCTGGGCAGATCAGAGTGAAAACGTGTGTATAAATGTGAGTATATACAAAATATACAGTTTATAAAAAACAAAACAAAACAAAAACAGTCGATGATGATGATGATAATGATGTGTGCGAGTTAGTGTAAGTGTCCTTGATGATGATGATGTGTGCCAGTAAGTATGAGTGTCCTTGATGATGATGATGTGTGCGAGTTAGTGTGAGTGTCCTTGATGATGATGATGTGTGCCAGTAAGTATGAGTGTCCTTGATGATGATGATGTGTGCCAGTAAGTATGAGTGTCCTTGATGATGATGATGTGTGCCAGTAAGTATGAGTGTCCTTGATGATGATGATGTGTGCCAGTAAGTATGAGTGTCCTTGATGATGATGATGTGTGCCAGTAAGTATGAGTGTCCTTGATGATGATGATGTGTGCCAGTAAGTATGAGTGTCCTTGATGATGATGATGTGTGCCAGTAAGTATGAGTGTCCTTGATGATGATGATGTGTGCCAGTAAGTATGAGTGTCCTTGATGATGATGATGTGTGCCAGTAAGTATGAGTGTCCTTGATGATGATGATGTGTGCCAGTAAGTATGAGTGTCCTTGATGATGATGATGTGTGCCAGTAAGTATGAGTGTCCTTGATGATGATGATGTGTGCCAGTAAGTATGAGTGTCCTTGATGATGATGATGTGTGCCAGTAAGTATGAGTGTCCTTGATGATGATGATGTGTGCGAGTTAGTGTGAGTGTCCTTGATGATGATGATGTGTGCGAGTAAGTGTGAGTGTCCTTGATGATGATGATGTGTGCCAGTAAGTATGAGTGTCCTTGATGATGATGATGTGTGCCAGTAAGTATGAGTGTCCTTGATGATGATGATGTGTGCGAGTTAGTGTGAGTGTCCTTGATGATGATGATGTGTGCCAGTAAGTATGAGTGTCCTTGATGATGATGATGTGTGCCAGTAAGTATGAGTGTCCTTGATGATGATGATGTGTGCCAGTAAGTATGAGTGTCCTTGATGATGATGATGTGTGCCAGTAAGTATGAGTGTCCTTGATGATGATGATGTGTGCCAGTAAGTATGAGTGTCCTTGATGATGATGATGTGTGCCAGTAAGTATGAGTGTCCTTGATGATGATGATGTGTGCCAGTAAGTATGAGTGTCCTTGATGATGATGATGTGTGCCAGTAAGTATGAGTGTCCTTGATGATGATGATGTGTGCCAGTAAGTATGAGTGTCCTTGATGATGATGATGTGTGCCAGTAAGTATGAGTGTCCTTGATGATGATGATGTGTGCCAGTAAGTATGAGTGTCCTTGATGATGATGATGTGTGCGAGTTAGTGTGAGTGTCCTTGATGATGATGATGTGTGCGAGTAAGTGTGAGTGTCCTTGATGATGATGATGTGTGCCAGTAAGTATGAGTGTCCTTGATGATGATGATGTGTGCGAGTAAGTGTGAGTGTCCTTGATGATGATGATGTGTGCCAGTAAGTATGAGTGTCCTTGATGATGATGATGTGTGCGAGTAAGTGTGAGTGTCCTTGATGATGATGATGTGTGCCAGTAAGTATGAGTGTCCTTGATGATGATGATGTGTGCCAGTAAGTATGAGTGTCCTTGATGATGATGATGTGTGCCAGTAAGTATGAGTGTCCTTGATGATGATGATGTGTGCCAGTAAGTATGAGTGTCCTTGATGATGATGATGTGTGCGAGTTAGTGTGAGTGTCCTTGATGATGATGATGTGTGCGAGTTAGTGTGAGTGTCCTTGATGATAATGATGTGTGCGAGTCAGTGTGAGTGTCCTTGATGATGATGATGTGTGCCAGTAAGTATGAGTGTCCTTGATGATGATGATGTGTGCGAGTTAGTATGAGTGTCCTTGATGATGATGATGTGTGCGAGTGAGTGTGAGTGTCCTTGATGATGATGATGTGTGCGAGTTAGTGTGAGTGTCTTTGATGATAATTATGTGTGCGAGTTAGTGTGAGTGTCCTTGATGATAATGATATGTGCGAGTCAGTGTGAGTGTCCTTGATGATGATGATGTGTGCTAGTTAGTATGAGTGTCCTTGATGATAATTATGTGTGTAAGTTAGTGCGAGTGTCCTTGATGAGGAGGATGTGTGCAAGTTAGTGTGAGAGTGTCCTTGATGATGATGATGTGTGCCAGTAAGTATGAGTGTCCTTGATGATGATGTGTGCGAGTTAGTGTGAGAGTGTCTTTGATGATAATTATGTGTGCGAGTTAGTGTGAGTGTCCTTGATGATAATGATATGTGCGAGTCAGTGTGAGTGTCCTTGATGATGATGATGTGTGCAAGTTAGTGTGAATGTCCTTGATGAGGAGGATGTGTGCAAGTTAGTGTGAGAGTGTCCTTGATGATGACGATGTGTGCAGGTTAGTGTGAGTGTCCTTGATGATAATGATGTGTGCGAGTCAGTGTGAGTGTCCTTGATGATGATGATGTGTGCGAGTTAGTGCGAGTGTGTCCTTGTGAGTGTGTTTATCTTATCTGTAATTGCCATAAGTTGTAAAGCTTCAACAAATAAATAACTGAACTGAACTGAACGTTGTTTTGCTGTGACATGAGGTGATTGACGATTTGACTACGGTCAGATCATAAAATCATATATTCCTTTTTATGATTTGTAGAGCCTTGCTATCATAAACATCGATTTATGACATTGAATTTGCCTGCGAATATCGTACAACTTTTTTAATGTTCATATTTTGCATATTTTTGAAATAAAATTATAAGAAATAAGGCTAGGTTAACGATTTCTTAAAAGAAACCATGGAATTGAAATATTAAATATATCACATACAAGTAGTACTACATGTATATTTTGCTGTTGTAGCGTTCGGCAGTACTCGGTACCTGTGTGACTACCCTACCACTGCCAACGGAAGTCGAGCAAGCATTACTTTTGAATTTGGGTCCAAGTTTTCGACTTCTGACTGCAATGAATGCGAATGCACTGCTGACGGCATGCGTTGTTGTGGGTAAGATGACCTTTCTCTGTTGCTTTGTCTCAGCAGTGTTGAATCTATACTGGTAGCATGGAAAGGGCATTAGGGAACTGTTTTTATTTTATTGGAACTCAATATATTTTGTGTTCCCACGAAATGTTATTGCATTCCCACCTAAAAGTAATGTTTACTATTGCGATCTTAAGCAGTCAAACAGTTTTACCGTGTCTTTTCCCAGCCATCGTTGATGTCTGATGCTAAGGGAAATAAGCGATAAAACACTGGCTGATATGTTTGGTACATTCTCAAAGATATAGTGAATAACGCTATTTAAAACATTATTACCCTGTGCATTACTTTTAGTACGTTCATCTAAGGCTAAAGTCAAATTGAGGTCAAATGTCATTTTTTGTCGGGCAATAATTTCTGATTACTTGGAGATAGCTCAATGTAAAATACAATTGAGGCCGTAATCCCAAGGTCAATGTGACATTGAGGTCAAAGGTCAAAACAATTGCCAAGCATAACTTCTGACACACTTAAGCTACATGTATCTCGATGCAATTTTAGGGGTATACGAAGGATGGAAAGGCAGGGTGTTCCATACTTTTTTGGGGTCTTGACGCCAAATTCAAGGTCACATTGACGTCACTCTTTATTAGATCTTTTAGGGAAGTATAATCCATCAGTTTACTAATTTCCTTGTTTTCAAACTAAATGCCTCACTTTTCATTGTTATAAAAGAAAAACATTTGTCTCACCGTGTTATTCTGAACAATTTTATTTTCAGTTTCGGTGTTAAATCTGGAACGCCTATTTTTGCCCCTGTCGGATGTCAAGTGGTAGCAGATGGCTGCCGAGCCAGGGTAGTCAGTATGTCCGACAATCGGACAGACTGCTACGCCTACAACCAGTATCGCCGTCCATCCTCCGGACCGTTTGATCCCTTCATGTCGAGCCCCTATGATATGTTCGGAATGAGAGGGTACGGTGGCATGAATGCAATGGGACAACGCAGGGGGCCACTTGACGGAGCAGAAATGGAATCCGAAGGTCTGCTGCCCATGCTTTTACCTTTATTAATGGGATCCAATCCTGGGATGGGACCTGGAGGGATGGTCGGAGGGATGTCCGAAGGGATGGCCGGAGGGATGGCCGAAGGGACGGCAGGAACTGCGGGTCTTGCTAGAAGCAATGCTGGAGCTGGCAACGGAGCTGGTGCTGATGCTGAAACAGGAGCTTATGGACCAGCAATGAATCCCTTCCAAGGCTTGTCACGTATGCCCCCTCTGATGAGACTTTTATTCATGTCCAGTATGATGGCAAGTTGAACACGTCTGGGTGATAGGATTATATCTATTTTGTATGTGTAGGTACTGATATACTGCCGGTGGAGTCACATGGTCGAGTACAGACTGATCAATACTTGTTTCCGAGAAGCACATGAACATTCTGTATTTTGTCCCGGTTCATGAACAAGCATGTAAATAGAATATTTTGGAGAAATAAATAGTGGTTTTCCTACTAAACTTGAGTGGAAATGTTGGGTGTATTATATGAATCAGAAGTGAAGAAGTTGCGCTAATCTGCTATATACTTAACCTTTAATTGTTGATAATTGGCATTTAATCAATATGAAGCGAAAGTAGGAAATGTATGTAGTGTTTTACGGAATTGTAAAGTCTTCAATGTGCAATCAGATTTGGCTGGGTATGCCGACGAAATGTAGATCCGTGGTTACGTTAACCATGTTTTAGTTGAATGATTCCCTAAATAACAAATTTTATTGGCATAAGTTTACGTAAGTTAGCGGCACATTCCTTCGAAGACGCTCGTACAATTTTATGCTTAATCAGTACTGCATCAGGAAATGATTTATCGGTTTGGTTCTAAAACTTATTTTTTATCATTATTTCCCTCATTATTGAATGGTAGTAAATGGTGATTAAGTTAAAAAAAAAACAATTCCAAGATTGTGACCACATTAGGAACCAAGAGGTGTGCAGTGTAAGTCATCTTACATGAAGTACCTCACCAGTACGCATGGCTTGCAAAGTTTCGCCTTTGGCAGAAAATTGAATATAAAGTAGAAATTTTGAATGAAAATGTCTACTAAATATGGAAATTAGTCACCTTCGGCCTCAATGTCCATCCAAAGTGACACTTCTAACCTGGAGGTGTTGTCGGTTAGTGTTTGACCAGACAGTGATACACAGGTTTTAGCAGGTTCTTTGATATTGCCTCTTTTGTACTTAGCGCGAACTAGGCCATCACGTGGTGTTCAAACCGTACTATGACGGACGATGATACATTAAATAGCCTATCCCTACGGGTTATAATTACACGACGGTGGCGTTGTCGGAGGTTTTCTTGCCATAACATTAAAGGGAGTGCTTTCATTTTCATACCAAACATCTTGCAAATAATTCTAGAATAAATGACCCGCTCAAGTTCGATTTCAATTTGGTTCTGAAATTCAATAGATAGCCACCGTTAGCCATCTTGGATTTTACTTCCTGAATTTCTAGACTAAAAATCATTTTTTACTTAAATCTTCCTCAGATACTTCTAGAATTTATTATATCTGTTCTAATTACATTTTGAGTCAGAAAGTTCAATATGGTGTCCACCGAATTTTCGGCATCAAACTCGAGCGAGGAGTTCGGTAGTATGCGTGCGTGGGATACAGAAACAGTCTAAGACTTCAGTCATAATGTTAAATGTCGTTTAGTCAATAGGGATTTTTTTTTGAATGAGTGTCATAAGGCTCTCTTGTGAGCGGATAAGGGACTTTTATGTACATGTATACAGAAAGAGTTACAGTGTATATATATTTTGTTGTACGTGTATTACATGTGAACAGTTATTGCAAACGCTTGATGAAAGATGTATTATGGAGGCTTCAAATCTGACAGGTAAATCATTTAAAATAAATGTATTTATTACTCCAAATGAAAAAAGAAAATGAAAACACACTTTCATTTGGAGTCAAGCACAAGTTAAGAATATTTCCTATCTATAAATGAATTATGAAACCCTGTCTTGAGCGTGTAACATTGACGGTAATCTTCCGGGATAATATAGGATGCGATATCGATAAAGTTTCTTATCATCTATATACTACTTTATTCCACCTACCGGTAGCATGACACATTCATTATCACTGGTTGTCAGTATGAGAAGAAGTTGAGAACGATTTGAGAACAACTTAAGAAGAACTTGAGAGAGGATTTTCCCATTCCCCAGCACTTGGGGACGTATTTTCTCAAACAAGAACGTCTGCTCGCGCCAGATGACGTTCGAAACCGGAAATAGTGTCCACACAAAAGTGATCCGCGTAAGAAAATAGTCTGTCCTAATCATATCGATGCAAAAATACGGGAAAATATTGTGAGAATAACAACACTATTTCAGGTGCGAATATGCATAAGGAAAAGCCAGTGACGATATGATTGTTCAAAAACAAAAATTCTGTATAAGGTAGTAGTATATAGATGATAAAAAGTTTATCATACATTATTTTCAGTGTTTGTCGTTCGAACAATTTTCGCATCGCTCGCACGTAGATAAAATCTCGAGTCCACCTGTGGTGGCCTCTCGATTTTATACACGTGCTCGCGAATAGAAAATTGTTCTCACGACAAACACTGAAAATACTGTGTGATAATCTATAATTATTATTGGGAAAACAATTATCTGAATCCTTCAACACATTATTTCAGTTTGAATTTCATATTTATTTGACAGATCTTTGAATTAGAAATTTAGTAATAACTGGAGTTCATAGTTAGTTCCTGTTTCGTCCCTACTTCATCATTGAGTTATGTCCCTTGAACAATTTTTAAGTCTTTTTTATTACTGTATCCTATTTTCTTCTTTAAAAAACCAAGTGACTTCGTTAACATCCAGATACACGCGACAGTTTGTAAACATCTGCGTCATTGCTGAATATTGTTAAACTTGTAAAAGGAGTTTCTTGGCAGAGGCCGTCAAACCCCTTCTACATTTGGATTACAGTATATCTGATAAAACTCTAACAACAACGACAAGGGGTAGGTCTTTATCATGATACAGAAGTTTTAATTATAAATTTAACATAATCGAGGTATGTTAATAACATTCCACAGATAAAAACATACAAATGTTTACTCTATCATTAATGTAAAACCTTTAGATCTGTGACAAATATTCTATGTTACCGATCTATAATTCTGTTATCAGCAAACATAAATTGACTAAGTGTTATTGGCTGAGTATCATTTACACATTTAATCCCTATGTTTAATTGTATATGTCACTAAAAACGAAAGCAGAAACAGCTTTGCTTCTTTTTGGAATCCATTGATGATTCCCAAAATCGTATTCCTCTGAATGACATTAATCATATAGTATATGTTGTTGTACACAAGTTAAATTGTTGTCAGTAGAATCGGTTTATTTGTTATGTCATTTTATGATTAACCACCTAAGGGGGTAAATCGACTTTTTAATTGATGTAAAGGTACATAACTCAGAAACAAATACCACAATCATAATAGCAATTATTCCGATTGTCCTTTATACATTGATATAATTAAGATTTTTTCTTTCATGTTTAAAATGACGTTATGGATTCCTTTATCGCTATCCGGACATTATAACACTGATACAGGATTTCATGGTGTATTTCTCTTATAGAAAGGGTTAGGCTTTGTTTTCAGATGTTTCTTAACTTCACTGCTTGACCTCGTCTTGACATGAAATACGATCATTAGTAGTTTCCCTCACTCATTTTGAACATTTTCGATCAAGCATTTCGAACACTAAATCTCCACTTTCGATAAATAAATGATTAATTAAACACCACCGCATCCGCAGAAACAAAGAACAGTTGGAAATTAAAAGGTCCAAGACAAGCTTAGACGACCATCATTTGGCGCAATGGTGCACAATTTTGATACACACCTTTGTACTTTATGGTAAAAAGGACGTTTGTACTTAACTCTTAGTGGTTCTTGGTCCTGGGAAAAGATAGGTTTCACTGAATCTGATTATTCCTGCTAAAGACATCAATCGAAATTCAACCTTCAGGTACTTGAAAGTAAATCATTACAGCTTCGTTAAATATTCCTGTATTCGTGAGGACACTTGAGGCACAACCTTTCGGAAGAACATGAATTAAGTAGGTTTCGTTGAATAAATGATGTCAGTGTCAAGATATGATACTTTTTATCACATACCTGTTGAATCTTGTTATACATGTAGTAATACAAGTAATTTTCAGACCATGAAAAACAACGTTCTGTATCGCACATGTGCAATACGGAATGTTGTATTTACGTACTAGCCGGAACTACTTTTTATAGAATTCACCTTGTCATGGCGAACTGAAAAGTTCCCGGTATTTGCAAAAAAGATAAAAGTTTATAAAATCTTTGTACCGATCTCTACCAAATACGGAAGGTATGTGATAAAGCAAGACCACACGCTTGTGTTTTTCTAACGAATCAGAAAGCACGGGTTTATTGCGCGGACGAATATATTCACGAGTGCGCGGTTTCGTTAGAAAAACACAAGTGTGTGGTCTTGCATATGTATGAAATGAAAACTATGTCATTAGAAAGAACAATTGATCGGCTTTCAAATGGTATACAATTAGACAATATGTTGAACAATGCCCTACCAAATATGACAAAGCCTGCTTTCAGAATAGGCGAACTAATATTCTGTCCTATCTATTTTCAAAAATCCACAATACTTTCAAAAGTGACGATATCGAAGTTTTACTTTCTAAACAAACAATTTATGTATTAAACATAATACGTCAATTGTTTGTGTAAAAAGTAAAACTTTGATATCACATATTTCCAAACTGATGAATCTTATTATATATGTTATATATAACATATGTTTAAAGGTCAATGTGTTTATTGAATTATTCTGAAACAAGTTCATCAACATTGTATAAAACTTATATATTATTGTATAGATAGATATGACTACCATAAAACAAATCTTAGCTTTTCTCCGCATACACCTCATTCGACGACAAACCTGGGCAGTGATCGTTGTGGGGGAGGGAGTTGTCAGTTTAAGATCTCACTAAGATATAACAACTATAACATTCCTACGCAAACCTTTTTCGATGCCAAACTTTAGCCATGATTCCAGACGAGAACCCAAAACAGGACATCCTTCTATAAGTTAGACATCAAACAAACTGCCACCAATACAAACGAAATGTCCATACGACTGTGAATGACTTAACCGCCAAATGACAGACGTCTCATTCGGCACGAGGAGTCGTACTAGTTGAAGTTAATGGTTGTATTGGTACTTTATTGAGCATATTCAAGTGGGCGGATCCACATAACCGTATGAAACCTTGTTACACCTTATGACGGTAATACGTATTGAAAAAATGAAATAAAGTTTTACATTTTCTTGCATGTTCGTTATACAAACCTCCCAAAATGTCATTAAAACCACAGTAATGTGATTTATCACGTGCACTGTGTTGCACTACATAACGCTGATTCAGATATTTAGAAATCATGTCAAATAATTTAAATTGTATGCAGCTATGAACTGTTCGCACCTCATAGGTCATGTTTTAACGAGAAAACCTCACATCATCTGTGTAATACGGATCATCCTAAGTACTCGCCGTGTATTGATGTCAGCCACTGATATATGTATAATACATAACGTCTCGTGAGAAGGATAGCAGTTTATCATCAATGCATCACGTGTGACAGTGTAAAACAAATAGCTACCTTCTGCCAAAAAAAGAACGCAACATGAACGAACATTGTTCTGATGTTATTACATAGTGTGTGGTCTAGGGTGAAATATCGATACATTTACTTTGAATTTGATTATTCTATTGGAGAAAAGTGTTACCCCTTTCACCACTCCACTTTCCATCCTGTTTCATTGTTTATTACAGCAGCAGCCTCAAATAATTTCTATACATTCATTCATTCTGAATATTTTATAATATCCCCTCTCTTCTGTCTGTGTTTATCAGGTCCATGGCGTTTAAAAATAACGTGTAAGATGACATTTTTCACCATCTATTCGTCTAACCACGAGGACAATTGTCGTCAACAAATGAGAGGGGAAACAGTACCAATAGTTTTATAACCCGTCAGTTGTCAATTCTTTGCCAAGTAACCCCGCTATTTTACGCTTTGGTAACATAGCATTGTTCTGTCCTTGACATAGTTTTGTCCACCATTGTCGTTTAGTTAATAATTTTGCGAAGGAAATTGAACATTATGGCGTGACGATGATAACTGTTTTACAGATAAAATAATATGCATTTTAATAACAATTGTAACCGTGTATACACGTATGTACTACATTATACATACCCACGGGCCTGTTCCTACAAATGTAACCGTGTGTACACGTATGTACTACATTATACATAACCACGGGCCTGTTCCTCCAATGTAACCGTGTGTACACGTATGTACTACATTATACATACGCATGGGCCTGTTCCTACAAATGTAACCGTGCACTACATTTTACAAAAGTGACAATACCATATCCATATAAATATTGAGATTTTATTTTCCTTTGTTAGACACAATCGATCGGTTATTATTATGACCTGGTGCCGAATGAAGGACGGAGACGTTCGTATAGCTTGTTTCTAATTGGTCTTCCGGTTTCACAGCCGATGGTATTGTCACATGTCTTCACAGACAGGGGGTCACACCCATCTCCAATAATCTCACATCCGGGGAACGTTTGTATGGCACCCGCCCGATAACCGATCCTGTGAAAGTATAATACAATATAAGAAACACGAACACTCCATACTGACATCTTGCATACTGACCAGTTTTGGGCAAACCTAGCTCAATCCATGTGCATACAAAATATTATTTTATCATTTATAAATCAATCTTCACAGATATATCAATCTAAATGCCCCCTACATTACTACATGTCCGATATACACTTATATTTTATTGAAACTTGTGTGTAAAATTATTACGAATTTCCAGAGGATTATATTGATTTCATTGCACAGCTGCTGACAAATGTTGATTGCATTTTGCAAAATGTTTCATGTAAATCAATGGATCAATGGTAAAGCAGTGGGAACAAAGGTCTTATAAAGCTACACAAAACTTAAGGTGCGTCTTTTAATAACAAATATGTGAAAACTCACGGCAAGTTATTCTAACTATACAGGGTTACTCACCCACAGCAACTGAGTCCGGATTCTGTACAACTACAGTGCTCACAGGAACTGGTGTCGAACTCTGAGCCTATTTCAAGCCTTACATCATTGTATAGGCATGTTTTTCGTACTTTACCAGACACTGCCAAAGTAAGATACATGAAAATATGTAATCAAACTATTGCCAGTTTTGAATATACAATGTAAGTAACAATCCTAATACATACTGATTTGAAAAGTATAAACAGCTTGCTCAAAATGACAAATCCCATTACGACCTCGTTGAGAAAGCAAAATTTTAACTTAAATTCGACACGAAAAGTAATAAAACGCTTGCAAACAAGGGCAAACCGAGCCTCAACCTCGTAAACTCAATAAATGGAATCGTGTCGACACAAAAGCGAAACATAAATGGACATAATGAACTTCGACCAACATTTGGATGTGAACGGGTAGTGTTGTATGCACCGTATAGGGCACACATCATGGTGTCGAATTCAGAAAAGTATGTAGGTCACCAATTACCTATGACATCGTGAAGTAGACACTAACTTTATTAAACATAGAAGATTATCATAAATGCTATACTTTGCTCCTTTGGTGCAATGTATTGGTCGGCTACCAGCACCCCGTGTCATTAATGTTTTACTATACATAGGAAAGCATTAACTAACTGCATGCTATGCTGTCATTCTTACAGATTTATGGATATTTCTGTATACTTACTCAAACTCTCCGTCAACGGACCACTGATAGAGCAGCTAGCAGTCGCAGAACCAACCAGGAAATACAGCGATCCAATAGCAGCCAGAAGTGTATAGGTAGCCATGGTGCTTCAAGTTACAGTTGTGGTGAGGTATTATGTAGCTACACAGATATTTAAGCCAAGGGATAATTTATGATATATTTACGAGTATTGATCGATATATATTTAACTACGTAAAGATTATATGCAATAACTTTAGATATGGCTATTTGGTGAAACGTTTAATATATAACTTTACGTTAAGCTGCCAGCCAGTCTTATATAAATCCTAGTGAACAGCATAATCCGTATAAATGGCGGTGAAGCAGATTGACAGGTACTTAAATTAAGATCATATCAAAGTCACACGTTTGAGTTAAATATATATCTCACTGGAACATCACAGCGACAACGTCTATACTACACTTAAAAATAAAAATAAAAACATATGTTTATACATTTAATACGAAGTCCCTAGCATAATCAATTGTACAAGAATGCCCATAGTTTTCTTCACTGTGCATTCAATTAAGCATAATTATGATAGTAATATTCAAAATTATGTACAGCGATCGATCAATTTATAACAGCCTAAAAAGAGAGAAAACGGTACATCAATAGATCTGGAACGACGTCAGTTGTTAGGGTTAGGTGATGAAAGTATATAATGTAAGGTACAGTAAAACAGTTTATAATTAAATATCGGCAGTTCATTTGACAGTTTCAAGTGATTTGGTTTGGTTTAACTTTGTATAACGTCCAATTAACAGCTAATGTCGTTTAAGGACGTGCCTCCATGTGTGTAGTGCATGCGTGCTTGCGTGGGTGTATGCAGGAGACAGGGTATGTTGGTGTGCCTGCCTCCACGTAATAGCGGGAATCTGATGCCGAATTTACAGTGCTATCTCACTGAACTACCATGTCGAAGGCACCTAGCATAGCATTCCGCCCGGTCACATTATACTGACAACGGGTGAACCAGTTGTTGCCATTCCCCTAAAAGCTGAATGCTAAGTAGGGAATAACAACTACCATTTTGAAGGACTTTGATATGCCCCTGCCTGGGGACAGAACCCATTGCCTTCCTCATCTGGGTGAAAGCTCAACATAATGGCCAAAAGTGAGGTATTGCCAAGCAAGGCGTTAGGAAATAAAAGGTAGTTAGTAGTAGAAAGAAAGATGAAGATCTCAAATATTGCAATGGGAACAGCAGATTTATTTTCGTTGTTTTTGTGTCCCCAAATAGAGGAAACCAAATCAAATCCCTTATTCTGCAGGGGGTTCTCTAATTACTCGCCTTCTATGATACGTGCAGTGGGTAACATCAGGTGTATTATTTTCCCGATCCCCCACCGGCAGGGACAAGTTTCAAATGTTAATCGTGTGACGGATGCAACCAACACCCCTGAATTGGTAGTTACATGATGTCAACTGTTTTCAGTTGTCAAAGATGAAAATCAGTACACGAAAGTTCCTCATAATTGTCATGGTCACATGTGCCAACTCCAACTTGGGAGTACACATAACGGGTTGTTTTCTTTTGGTTCAATTGGAGAAAGCATGCTTCCAAATAAACTCGGCAATTCTCGTGAGATGGCATAACAGTGAAAGTCAAGTTCGAGTTTGCAACAGATGTCTTTCGACGTGTGTGTCTAGTTGCTTTCTTTTAATAATAGTATTTTCGTAAGAGCATTGCCTATTGTCACTCTTTGTCTCCCATCCTTAAGATCAGCCTAGTGATGTGCGCCAGCAGATATACTATACGATCATAAGCGGTGAAAGCAATTGCATAAATAGATCTAATAGCACTAGAACCAATATAACAGGGTCCGATCAGGTCGTTCTTGTGTAGCATAGAAGTAAGCAGAATGTAGCTGACAAAAAGTGTCAATGAAATCGATACGTAACCTCTTGTTTCCAGAAAAAAACAGATGTACAAACTCGACACGTGTCGGTATTCCTCACTTTCTTCTTGTCAAATTCAGGCTTTAAAACGATCATTTTTTAAATGATGACTGTTTCCAAACAGGTGGGAATTTCTATCTGAACCTGAGATATGTTGATGAAAGAGCTTACCGGCGGGAGCAGACATTTTATAACGCTGATTCAAAAGTATGTGTGCAGGTGTTAAAACATTTCCTAACATGGTATATTGTTCTCGATTCTTTTATAACTACCAATACATGTTGTGGTTATTACTCATAAAATTAATAGATTTTCTTCATCCATTTGACATGTGATTGATACATCTGATATGTGAGATATTTACATGCAATTATCGTTTGACTTTTTCCTTTGATTTCAATCTTTCCCAGACATTATGTTTGTTGAGCACCAAACTATATCGTACAACAGACGGAAAAAGTCATCAGTTGACGGTATAAATAGTTTACTTGCAAATATATGATAATTTTGCACCCAGGTCCGAGACTTGATTTACAACATCCTATTGAGCAATAGATTGTCACTCGCATATAGAGGTGTCACGCTGGTATCACAATTAAAATATAGGAAAATCTTTGATGTGTATTCATACCTTTGTTATTTTAGATGAACTATTGATAATCGATGATAAATTACCCTTACTAATGGCAAGCATCACACAGTTTATGACAGCACAGCAACGCTTTGATTTAAATATTCAATACCTCATTATTCATATCAATTAGCATATTTTCAATGCGATTCAGAAAAGAGTTTTGGAATAGGTTTGAAAAGTCAAACATACAGGTTGTGCAGTGACATTGTATTCAAAACTTATTCATGTCTATCTCGAATTATTTTCTTTACATCTTCTTCAAAACACAGCCTATGAAATGTTTATTTTGTGACGTTCCAATGACTTTTTTTATTCAATTATTTCAATCCCTGTGTAATGATATCGATGTATCTGACATACTGCTCACAGCGGGAATTGTCGCGTCATATGTAAGTTGAACGTCATCATATACCGGCGTGTCTGCGCTAATCAGTCCTACAGGAACGCACAGGTTCTGTCTCAAATCTTCCACATAATGCTATCGTTTATTCCGGATTTTGTGGAATTTCCCCTATAGGCATCTTCAAAGAAACGCAGATTTTAATTTGGCAGCGAAAGTATAATATATAATATAAAAAAATAAACACGAAAGTGAGAACACCGCAATTAAAAACATCTCAAGCAAAAGCAAAGCTTGAATATAAATTTGAAGTAAAATGATTGGCTGAGACATGGCTATAAAGAAAATAAAAAAATAAATAGGTATCGGGAGATGTTAGTCCTAGCTCAACGAGACAGGCTAGGTGCCAAACCAGTTTACAAACTCAACGATTACGACAATGCTTGATAAAGTAGGCATAATACATTTTTAGTTAAAATTAACTACAAAACATCGACACTCAAAGGAGAATCTTAGTTCCTCGTCAAGTGCTTTTAATGACTGAAGTAAATAAATTTCGGGTGACAAAAATTGTATAAATAAAACCCCCACTTTGGATCAATAATAATGGATGCGTCCGTATGGGCATGGGTTCCAACAACACCTACTCAGAGAGCCAAAAAAATCTGGGGGAAACACATTATAGTAGGCCGTAGAAAACATCGGGGGAAAACACACTACAGTAGGCCGTAGAAAACATCTGGGGGGAAACACATTATAGTAAGCCGTAGAAATCCTCTAGGGAAACACATTATAGTAAGCCGTAGAAAACATTTTGGGGAAACACACTACAGTAGGCCGTAGAAAACATCTGGGAAAACACACTATAGTAAGCCGTAGAAAACATCTGGGGAAACACACTAAAGTAGGCCGTAAAAAAACACCTGGGGGGAAACACACTATAGTAAGCCGTAGAAAACATCTGGGGAAAAACACTACAGTAGGCCGTAGAAAACATCTGGGGGAAACACACTATAGTAGGCCGTTGAAAACATCTAGGGGAAACACACTATAGTAAGCCGTAGAAAACATCTGGGGGAAACACACAAAACATGTTGTAGGCCGTAGAAAACATCTGGGGAAAAACACATAAGTAGGCCGTAGAAAACATCTAGGGGAAACACATTATAGAGGGCCGTAGAAAACATCTTGGGGAAACACACTATAGTAAGCCGTAGAAAACATCTGGGGGACACACACACAACATGTTGTAGGCCGTAGAAAACATCTGGGGAAAAACACATAAGTAGGCCGAAGAAAACATCTTGGGGAAACACATTATAGAAGGCCGTAGAAAACATCTGGGGGAAACACACTATAGTAGGCCGCTGAAAACATCTAGGGGAATCCCACTATAGTAGGCCGTAGAAAACATCTGGGGAAAAAACACTACAGTAGGCCGTAGAAAACATCTGGGGGAAACACACTATAGTAGGCCGTAGAAAACATCTGGGGAAAAACACATAAGTAGGCCGAAGAAAACATCTTGGGGAAACACATTATAGAAGGCCGTAGAAAACATCTGGGGGAAACACATTATAGAAGGCCATAGAAAACATCTTGGGGAAACACACTATAGTAGGCCGTAGAAAACAACTGGGGGAAACTCACAAAACATGTTGTAGGCCGTAGAAAACATCTGGGGAAAAACATTACAGTAGGCCGTAGAAAACATCTGGGGGGGAACACATTATAGTAAGCCGTAGAAATCGTCTGGGGAAACACATTATAGTAAGCCGTAGAAATCCTCTGGGGAAACACATTATAGTAGGCCGTAGAAAACATCGGGGGAAAACACACTACAGAAGGCCGTAGAAAACATCTGGGGGGAAACACATTATAGAAAGCCGTAGAAATCCTCTGGGGAAACACGTTATAGTAAGCCGTAGAAAACATCTTGGGGAAACACACTATAGAAGGCCGTAGAAAACATCTGGGGAAAACACACTGTAGGAGGCCGTAGAAAACATCTGGGGAAACACACTAAAGTAGGCCGTAGAAAACACCTGGGGGGAAACACACTATAGTAGGCCGTAGAAAACATCTGGGGGGAAACACATTATAGTAAGCCGTAGAAATCCTCTGGGGAAACACATTATAGTAAGCCGTAGAAAACATCTTGGGGAAACACACTACAGTAGGCCGTAGAAAACATCTGGGAAAACACACTATAGTAAGCCGTAGAAAACATCTGGGGAAACACACTAAAGTAGGCCGTAGAAAACACCTGGGGGGAAACACACTATAGTAAGCCGTAGAAACCACCGGGGGAAAAACACTACAGTAGGCCGTAGAAAACA